ATTCCTGCTTTCACACAAATCAGTATGACACAGGTCAGCAACAACTTAGGACCTGGATCATAGGACCTTGCCAGTGACCTGGGTCAGAGCCCAATTCTTGCTGTGACCTGGGTGCGAGCTCTGTCATTTTGCAATGTGGATATTGTTTGAACTTCAGGCTCAAGTGAGAAGGTCTGCAGAGTAAAGTTTGAACACATTAACATGGCCGGGAGACTCTCTGGTCCAATGATTTACAATGAAGTATGGACGCTTAAGTATGATCTTGGGAACACTGAGTCCATAAAGCCCAGATTTACAATGCAGTGAAGATGTATCCTAAGTGACATAGAACTCTAAATCCTATTTTCAAAGGTGAGTTAGACACTAAGGACCCCAAGTCTTATTGAAAGTTAATGGGGTTTAGACTCCTACAAGCCAATTTTTCAAAGATATTTAGGTGCCCCAGGGCGAGATATCTAAGCAATTTAGGTGCTAACTCCCACTGAAATAAATGGGAATCTTTGTTCCCATTTGTGACTTTGTTACAACCATGACTGATGCTGGACAAACATTTCCAAAGGTGAGAGCCTTCTAAGGCTTCTAAGTCACAAGTGATTTGAAAATGTAACCCTTCATTCAAAATTAAAATGGTCAGTTGCATCGTCTTCAAGGGTTGCTTTGCTTAAGTAAGGACTGCACAATTTGGCCTTCATTGTGTAATCAAAATTTACCATGAGACATTTGTCACTGTCTTTGAACTGTGAAAATCTTGCCTTTTCAAGCTTGCAAATGAGTATTTTAGACATTGTGATGTAAATGGCAATTCTCATGGGAAGAAATATTTTTCATAGAGAATTTTTGTAGAAGCTCAGAATAAGGAAGTCTCACATATTTTATAAGACACTACTGTCCTTGAAGAATAATAGCATATATAATCCTGACTAGTCAGCCACAGTGTTTTTTTGTTTTGAAATATTCCCAGCATAAGTGTCAAGAAAAATTTAATTATGAAATGTTCTTAAGTAGAATGTGCTTGAATATATGAAGCAATTTTCATGTTCTCGAGCAAACACTAACCTTCTGTTCCATTAGCAAGGTGTTTGTAGGGATTGCTGCAAAAGCCTTGTAGCTCGTCTTGATCTTGTATTGGGTATGAAAAAAAAGTATGATAGAATGAAAACTAATTCTACCAAACTTATGGACAAGTTATTGATAATAAAATTATTACATTTGATGTGAAAAAGTTATTTCTTACAGAAGACCTACATGGGCATCACTCCGTGATGCTACTTTCATGATTTTATAATTTTTTTAAAAAAAATTATATGATTATAATGAGGCAGATTTTAATGAGCCAGGCTCAGACTCTATTGCCTGCATATCTTCTATTTGTGCTCTTTGGATGGTTCAATTTGCTTATGTAATATTGTTTTGATCCCTGTCTGGGCATCTCCAAACCCAGGAAGACCTTGTAAGGCATCTCTGTAGACTCTTCTGTTGTGACTAGTGCAATATTCACAGATTTGTCAAAATCAGGCCCCAAAATAATGAAATTGGGTATGCAATCCTGAGTGATTTTTAAATGATGCATTTTAATTGTTTTTATTTTCCATCTGGTTTATTTAAGGTTCATACTTTCAAGCTTTTCTCCGCAGCTATGAGAGCTTTGATCTTTTTTTAAAAAATAGTTCTCCTATAATTACATTATTTCAAAATTATTTGCAAATCATAAGCAAGCATAGCTTTTACATTATTTCAAAATTATTTGCAAATCATAAGCAAGCATAGCAAATCATAAGCAAGCATACAGAAGGAGCTTGTCCTCTCCCACATTTCAGGGGAGATACAGTGTCTTGGAGAATTTTCGCTGCAGAAAGAAGCTGTCCAAGTCAGAATATTCAATATTAGTCAGAAAATTCAATATTGCTGTGGTGAAATTCTGACCTTATTCAAGTCAATGAGATATTTGTCAGGATTTCACTCCAGAAATCCAACTTTAGAATGGCTAAAAAAACCCAGTGTCTGTAGTCTGGGACATTTTCCCAAGAACATAGCCCGTGGAAAGACTTTACAAGCCAAAAGACAAGCTCTTCCACCATAATAAGAAGATTAAGACAAATGAGAGGGCTAAAGGATGTGGAGAAAAATAATAATGGGGAGTGGAGATGAAGAAAAGGAAAATAGAGAGGTGTTTTATCTGTTTAGTTGATATTGGGTACAAGGAACCGACACTGAGATTATTAGACAGGAAAATTTGAAACATTATGAAGCACTAAAAATGCATGACATTCTTTATAAGCCTACATGCCTGAGTGCCCTTCAATGGCAGAGTGAAGGCCTCAGCAGAATACATGCTGGGAACACTTTACTGAGTGCCAAACATGTAGGAGGCATATTCACAAAGGCATGTTTAAGACAATGGTGTTGAATGCTTCTGGTGTTGAATGCTTCTCTTACCCAGTAATTGAGGCTTTCAGTACAGTGTTTTCAACACTGCAGCAAAACAAGGAAGAGCAAGGAGAAAAAAAACAAATAGAAAGGGAGACAAGAAAGCTCAACAATTTCTGAATGCCAATATGTAACACAACATGCAATGTTTCCTAATCTCCTAGCATTGAATTTTATCAAATATTGTGCTACCAATATTTTCTTACTTTCTGGATATGGAAGCATTTTTCACTGGTAAGCATGCTCATTGGAAAATGCATTTGTTTCTTACCAAAAGTTTTGTCTTTTAGTCAAACTTGAAGTTTGTCTGGCTGGCTTTTGGTTTGTTTTTTAAAAGAAAAATCAAAATGTAGAAGAAAGCAGACAACTGCCACACAAAATAAATCATGTTATTTAAAACACAGGAGAAAAATTGATGAAAAATTTGGACCAACCCAAAGGATAAGTAAAAGTAGGTATTGTGTCAATGATAAAATTTGTACAAAGTATGACCTGATAAAATACATGTGGCAACATTAAGATTCTACTGTATGATGTTACGAAGACTTATTCCAAATCTGGGGAAGCAGTCACAAACCAGCTCCTCAGAGACAAAAGGCAAACTGATGCCACAGCCAAGGTCAACAAAATGAAATCAATCACCACCTGATCAATTAACCATTCTTTGGCAAGAAAAAAAAGATGAGAATGATAAATTTTGGAAAAGAAACATCCAGAGTTTCTCCTACTCACAAACTTTTTCGTCTCTCTGAATCCTCGCTAGAAGTGATTCTCAAAAGAGAAAAAGGTATAAGTATGGGAACAGATGCTCAAGAGATCTTGGTAAAGAAGTGTTTTCTAAGCAAGGAGAGAAGTAAGTTAGAGCCACTGTGAGCTGGTATGACCCAGTTTTTAGTCAGTCAATAGAAGCGAGAGGTCATGAATTAAGTATTGACCGTTCTCAAACTTATTTACAAATAGACAGCAATTTTTACTTAACTGTCATTGAGTGGTAGCTAAAAATATTTTTCTGTACATTCTCATTTATATTTTGACATTGAAATATATGTTTTCAACATGTTCCCTAAAATAATTATACTCCATAGTGTCTGGCTGAGCAAGAGGCCCATCAGTTTAAGGATGTTAAAATGCAAATATTCGGCTAATCATACAGTCAATACAATTTGTATCGATGACATGATAAGTCGATAAGCACTTCTGTAGAGTCACAGTGGGGGTAGCTCCAGAGGAGCCGACTCGAGCCTAGATCATGCCAGCTCCAGAGCCACCCATGCTGCGGCTCTGCATTTTAAATGTAGTAAGAACTGCTGGGCTCCTACCAGGAGTGTACTGGCAATCAAAATAGGCCCAGGAAATGGGTTGAGAACAGCCCTCCCCCTGATGTCACCCCTGTGTGCCCCTAAACCCCACCCCCTGTGCTATGTCCGGTATGCAGCACAGGCGGCAGATCGGGCTCTGCGTGCCGCATACACCATGGACGCGGAGCCACTCGGCGTGAGGGGCAATAGTGTACGGACATGACAACAGAAGCTTAGTATGATGGTTAAGCCATTTTTAGGCAGAGAATCTTCTGTAGTGGAATGGTGTGGAATGCCAAGAATTCCCAGGATTGAAAAGCAGCCCAAAAGGATAATCTCTGGTGGGTAGACTTGTGTTTAATTCTGATGCTTGGTATATTTTTCAATCTAATTTAGAGACAATCAGAAAAAAATATATAGTGAAAACTACACAGTTATGTTAAAATTAAGGCGTAATCCAGAAAAATCAGACTATCGCTTATCAAGGTATTGGCAATGTGTGGAATGAGGAGTAACGGTAGTTCGAACTAGGAAGCCTAGTTCGAACTACCTAGTTCGTGCCATGTGTAGTCGCGCGGCACAGGGTTCGAACGAGCGGGGATTTAAAAATGGCGGAGCCCCGCTTATGCAAATGAAGCCCGGGAAATTCAAATCCCGGGCTTCATTTGCAAGTGCGGTATGCCTACATTACCCCCCTAGTTCAAACTAGCGGGGTAGTGTAGACATACCCATAGAGGCAGCAAGGGGGAGCACTGCAGAGAGTACAGGGCAAGCGAGGACTGCTTGAGTCCCTGCTTGCCCCCTGTTATGTACAAGAGCCCTCCTGGACTCTTGTACATTTCAAAAGCAGAAGCACCCACAGTGGGAACCAGCATGAGTGGGGACTGAAGCAGTCCCTGCTCATGCCGTTTCCCTGCTGTGCCTCTGCCTCCCCTGCCCCCCCTCCTCCCGAGACAGTTTTACCAGTTCCCTCCAGCACCGGTGCCTGCTCCTCCACTCTTTCTGCCTCTTCTCTGATAGAGGCAGCAAGGGGGTGAGGAATCAACAAGTTGAGCTGAGTATCCAATAAGCATTTGCTTATCAGATAGTGGACTAGTCGCTTACATCCCTGCATCAGTTACACTCTGCATGGCAAACCCTTCCCTCTGCTCTGTGGGTACAACTGGGGTAAGGAACCAGCAAATGAACATTGCCTAAGTGTGGGCATGGTGGCTGCTAAAGCTCAGGCTTGCTGATGGAGGGATAAGGAGGATAATTGCCCAGGGGCCTCTGGCACTGCTGGCAGCACAGCAGGGCTAAGGCAGGCTCCCTGCCCACCTTTCTGAATGCGCTCCTAGCACTGTACATCTGTCAGGGGGAGGTGTCTCCACATGCAGTCCCTGCCCTGAGTACCCACTCTACAACTCCCATTGGCCAGGAAATGTGGCCAGTGGGGACTACAGGGTCAGTGCTTGCGGGCAGCAGTGAATAGAGACCTCTGGCCTTTGCCTAGGAACCACTGCTAGAGGAGTTTGCCAGTCACTTTCAGGAGCTTCCCAAAGTAAACTCTGTTCTCCTTCCTCTCCCCAACCCTCTACCCCAGCCCAGAGCCTGCAATCCCTCCACACCCAAACGCCTTCCCAGAGCTTGCACACCACTCCTCTCCTGCATTTATAGTCTCCCACAAAGCCTGCATCCCCTTCTACACTCAACCTCCCTCCCAGAGCCTGCACCCCACAACCCCTCCTGCATATCAACCTCCTGCCCGAACCTGGTAAAAGTGAGTAAGGGTGGGGCAGAGCGAGCCACAGAGGGAGAAGGATAGAGTGAATGGGGATGGTACCTCAAAGAAGAGGCAGGACAGGGTCATGGCCTAAGGGAAGGGGCAGATCAAGGGTCTTTTTGTTTGCATAATCAGACAGTGGGCAACCCTACCGGGCAGACATGTGGAAGCCCTGGCCCTGCCAGAAAAGCATGGCCAGCAGCGTAGTTGGAAGCTTGCTGGGTACCACCCAGTGCAGGTGAAGCACTGTCCAAATACTGGGGGGGACCATGTTCATGCAGGCATAGCATGGGAGCCCATTTAGTGTTCTGCCTTGAGGCCCTGGATTGCTGTCAGCAGGCCTGATATAGCTCCTCCAAAGTCTTGGGTAAGATTTCCTTTTTCCCTACCTATCCATTCGGGACACATCTTCACAGCAGGGCTAAAGTCGAATTAAGCTTCGCAACTTCAGCTACATCAATTGTGTAGCGTAATTCGAAATAGCTTAATCCAGCATTTGGCACAGTTTACACAACAAGAAGTCAAATGAAGAACACTCTTCCTTTGACTTCCCTTACTCCTCGTGAAATGAGAGTTACAGAAGTTGGAGTAAGAAGTCCTCCAACTCAACGTTATTTTGGAATAAACGCTTGTAGTGTAGATGTAGTGTACACTGCTGTGTAGTAGACATACCTTCAGTTATCCATGACTAAGCCAGCCTACTCAGGTTGGTTTGAGAATTTGAGCTTATATACTGTGCAAAATACTTCTAAGAACATTAAAATAAGAATTCTATTTCTATACCTATATACATCTAATTACATCATACAGCTGTGTGTGTGTAAAAACTAACATGATACGATCCTATCAGAAAGAAAACTAAGCAGAACTGACAGCTGAATGATTTAATCAATGCTTTGAATTAAAGTTGACATTTCCCCTCAATAAAAATTAAATCAGGCCAATAAGCTCTGTATAATACCTGTTCTCTTTGTAGCAAATCCGCATTACATTAATGGCAGCACAAATGGCTCAGCCCCAAAACCTGTCATGTTATGTTAACACTTTTTCTGCTGATGAAAAAGCATTATCACTTTGGTTTTGTGTTACCAAAGTTATTTGGATTGGGGTTGCAGAAAGCACATTAGCTAGTAAAGATTAATTTTACTAAATGCAAAAGTAGTGATGATGCAACAATAAGGCTGAAAAATCAAGCACTCAAAAGTCAACACAGTCCAAAAGTTAACATTTTTCCTTCAGTGTTAGCTCAGCAACATTGCACATACTCAAATATGCAGTTTGTTATGCCATGCAGTAATAATAATCAGCCACTATAATCACTGTTCAGAACTTAGTGCTAAAATCAAACTGACTGGGGCCAAAGAGATCTGTGGACTCCACATCCTGCTTGAGTTCACCTCAAACCTTCCCAAAAAAAGGGAAGATTTTAGACTGGGTGGCAACCAGCATTAACAAATGAGCAAAGGCCTGCCACGACAACTAGCTTGTGGAGCTCTAGGACCAACTCCGTGAAAATAGGGGAGGGCGGTGTTAAATGGATATGCTTATCAGCCATTAATGAATTCATAAATGTTACTGCCAGAAGGTATCCCTATGATCATCTAGAATGACCTGATGTGTAAACACAGGCCATAGAATTTCATTTAGAGATTCCTGCATTAAGCCTACAGCTTATGGCTGCAGTAGACAGAGTACAGGCAGTCCCCAACTTACACGGATCCGACTTACGTCAGATCCGCACTTACGAACGGGGCTTTTCTCGCCCCGGAGCTCACGGTCTCCCAGTCTCCCTGGTCTGCTGGAGGGGTCCAGCAAAGCCGCTGGACCCCCCCAGCAGACCAGGGACACCCAAGCAAAGCCGCCCAGGTGGCGGCTTTGCTCGTTTGCTCAGGTGCAAAGCGGCCCAGGGCGGGACGTTTCCGGCGCGGCGAC